CATCAATACTCTCCAATCCTGTTCACTTTTCAGCGGAGAAACGCCACGGAGGTCAGTTTCAGTTTTCTTGTGAATAAGACCATACTACGCGAATTATTGGTAGCCGCGAGAGGCCCCCAGAACTCCTCCTGGAAACCCTCAAAGCATCATTAGTAAAACAACATGTGAAAGTTGCTATCGGACCGATCTATTTCAAACCTCACGATAGTGGAATATTTGCGAAAACGTGGACTCGAGTCCTGAAGTGCGCCTGCGTGCTTCATCTGAACTCTGCGTTGGCTGTTTTTGATGAGATATTTTCATTTCAGAACAATTAGAGTCATGTCTAGGACAAAGTGACAGTTGTCTCAAACTGAAAAACCTTACAGGTAACCCATCATACGCCATGTTCGAATTATGTACGTAGCCAGGTCCAGCAAGCCTCAGGTATGTGATGTGGGATGTTAGTATACATCTCGATCAGCAGATGTGTGACTGACAGGGAGCGATCTTGTTTATGGTGTTCTTGAGAACTCTTCTTGCTTTTCTCTTCTTTGGGAGAATTACTTATCAGCTACTGTTTCATAATTGAAAAGCAACTATCCATGACACTTTTATCGCGGGAGCTGTCTTTAACAACTGGTGGATAAAGGGTTTGGCACCACGCCAAAATCATCCCGCCTGGCACGCCCAACCGCCCGCAGCGAACTACACTATACATTTGGGGACCCACCCTCGTGGTCCAACTCAACCTTGCGCTCCAATCACAAGTGGCTTACGGTTGCTACGATTCATCGGGACTGCAAAATTTTTCTTGTTCAGACGAGTTGTCTCTTCGTGACGGACTCGTTTTGTTCGCGATGTCACGCAGGTGTTTCGATCCTACGCTTGTTTTCGGAAAACATCTGGATTTAGTTGTCTTTTTCTCATTATATTCTGTAGATCATGATTATCAGATAATATCATTTTCCTATCGCGCTTCCTAAGGGGATTTGTTCATCACTGATTGAGTAGCAAACGTGAGATTCAGGTGGTGTTTTCATTAAAATACTTTTTAGAAAGCAATGACGATGGAAGACGTTGTCATGGAAGATGCTTCCGTCGAGCAATCTCCATTTCAAACTGTTCATATCCTTCAAGTATGTGTTTGAGGAATACTCCCAGCACTGTTTTTGACTTGGTTTTATTAATTGAGGAAATATTCTAAGTTACTGATTCAGATGGTAAAAGACGCACAGCAGCAACATGGTCTAAGACATGCCGACTACCATAGATATAGGTATGTTTTGTGACACTGCGGATGTTTTGCTAAATTTAAATCCAATGAAATAGGTTTAATTTCGGGTTCAATTCAATTTTTGTCCCTTTCATGACTTCTTTAACAAACTAAGTATAATAAGTTTGATACCATGAGGGTCTTCTTCGTTAAAACTCTCTTCTCAGAGAGAGTGTCACGTATTTCTTAGCTGCTTTAGAAACTGAGCTAGGCTTTGTGCTGCTTAGGGAAGGGCATTTTGCGTTGTAGCTAGTTTGTTTTGCTAGTCCCTATTGAATTACACAATCACAGCTTGTTGACACCTGTAGCTCTCATCAATTGTAAACGAACTTTCTGCTTTTACATGGCTTTAGAGGAGTTTACAAATCTCCCGAGAATCCCTCGGCAGTGATCGATGGGAACAAGTAAAATGCCTCCACGAAACCGAACTGCACGTTGAAATATTTAGCTCGTCGTTCAACATAGCAGGAAATTTTGTGAAGCCTTAAGAATATGCCATTTCTTTACAGTCCTGTAGCGTCTTGAAGCACTTGATATTACGAGTTTTATTTTTGCGCCTCAAAATCCCTAAAATGCGGTAAGCCTGGCTGCGTACTTGAATTGAAAATGGGGCCAAGGTTTTTGTGAGATATTTCCGTTTTGGCACTGTTGCAATTATGTCTTTGTGCACAGAACACAGAACAAGGTGACAGCTGCCTCAAAGTGAAATATCCCACGAGTAATCCATCCTTTGCTATACTGGGATGCCACACCTACTTCATCTCAGAGTAGGGAGTATACGAACGATGGCGAGCCGAAGCCATGAGGATCCCCTGAAGAATAAGCTATATAATGGATGCATCAGTTCCCTTTTGCGAAGAGTGATTTTCGGTTTTCGTGAGAAGTGGTTTTCCTCGCCCAGAGACAGTCGTTTTTTCCCCAGTCTCCCCCCCCCTCCCCTAACGCTAGCTATCCTGTTTTGTTTTTAGTTATTGAACCACAACTCCACAGGAGGTGAACTTATTGTTGTTACGCGAGTTCTTTATGCGTGTTTCATTAGGAAGATTTCGTAGAATCACAAGTCTTTACCCCGACATATTCGTCTATGAAGGTCGTATGTGCGTTCTCCTTTAGGAGCACCTATACCACGGAGGGGGGGGGCATTCCGCACTTTTCTCGCTTCGTGTCCAAGTATCGGGCCATCAAATGAGGCCTGTGAAATCTTGTCAAGTCACGAAAGATGCCTGACAAAGCTTGTAGAGACCACCTGTCAACTCTTGTAAAGCATGAAATACCCTTCAGCTTCACAAGAGCACGCATGTATCACCAAAGTGAGACTTGCAAAGTGCGAACTAGTGAAGCAGCGAAAAAGCAACTCCCCCTCCCGCCGCCGCCGCCGTCGCCGCCGAACTGTGTCTTCGTTTAGTTACAATCGAGGTGGCGTAAAATGTTCCTTAGCTCTTCCTCCTTCACCCATCCCCTGTTTCCTAGACAGGATTGGTCGTCCTCATCACTGAAACATTTTTCAATTTCGAAAGAAATCCGCACGCGACAAGAGGGGTCATGAATTGTGAAACTTGCCCTCCCAAAGTAGAGTTGCCATCATTATTTCTACTTTTAAAGAGATTCCTGTAGTGTTACTCTTACAGTATTTGAAGTTCTTGATTAATCCGTAATTATAGGTCGTACTGTAGCTCGAAGTTGGATCGCGTTCGTCATGCCTTGAAATTCACCAACACTCATAAGTGCGTGCGAAGGCATAAGGCGAAATTCGTCAAGAAATCAATAACTGAAGCGGATTTTGTTGATGAACGGTGAGATTTTCATTGATTTTCTTTGCAGTAATAGAGACAAGAAGTGAGCAAAACAGGACTGCATTTCTCCCGACTTAAAGAAAGACTTAAAGACACCGCTTGAGTTTGCTGGACGAACGGGGCAGGTGGACGGCCTGCCGCTCTTCTCACCGCTTTCTCCGGCGGTGGAAAAGGCGGGGACCTGGCATTTCGGAGCGCTTTCTTTCACTGAGATTGGTATCCAGTGCAGAGTTTCATGCGGATTTCTTCACTTTATCTAGCCCATAACCGCTGAGATGGTGATGGTAGATTGCCTGGCGATGCCATGGCGGACTGACAAATTAGGCCAATTGTGCGCTTGGTTGCGGTGCCAAGTGTTTATGTATCCTTTGGAAGACTTCAGCATTTCAGATTCATCCAGTTGGGAGTGTTTGAAGCTGAGCGCCGTTGGGCAGCTGCTATGTCAGACAAAATGGAAATGGAAGATAATCCGGACAAAATTCGAAAGCGACAATCAATGCGTATGCATCTGAAGCGTGCCGTCTATCATGCGGCAGCTCTTGAAGCGCTCGTTCGAAATAATAGCAGGGTACGTTTTGAGAGGTACCAGACTTACTTTGATTTCAAACTCTCTGTGTGGCATGTGTTTAAGAGCTCTTAATACCTTTCTTACAGTGCGATGCGCCCACAAAGCTAGAAGCGCAAGCTTATGCTGTATGGCTTGCTGGTGTGTGTAACTTTGAGCTGCGCAATTGGTCTGAAGCATTTGAGCTGTTGAAGACGGCTCGAACTGTGTACGAGCGCTTAGCGGAAGCCACACACAACACAACGTTGGCGAATTTGTATAAAGCAAGGTAAATTTATTTTGTGCTTTTCTTTCAGTTCTGCATTACATTGCACTGTATTGTCCTCCTGCTTCTCACTTTTGTAACCTCAGAACGACAGTTGCGAGCATTTTACTTGTCTTATGCCTTAATAAGGTGGAAGGAAATTCCCGCGATGTGGTCTAGATTTCGATCGAATGCGGTCGTCTTCAGGGTTCGTCCATACTACGCGCAATTTGTTCGTCGTCTGAATCGCGTCAAGATAGCCCTGCAACCAATCGGTGCACTTCAGACAGCGTCATAATTTGCTTCAGCGTACGCCATGTTTTCGCGGCAATTGAGATTGAGGCAAAACTGGCTGCGAAACGCTGGCTGTACCTGGCATAAGCTGGCATCGCTCGATCGGTATCCATCTCTTGCCTACTGCCTGCAATAAGTTTGCCCGGGCCCGCGCCGTGTGGCAAAGTGTGAACGCACGCCTCGGAAGCGACCAAACTGCGCAGTAAGAAGGTTCTTTCAGAGGGCGGCGGAGTCTCCGTTTCAGATGATGGCTGTGTACCACAAAAAAGCGTTAGCTAGACGGCTTTCGCTTGAACGGTGAGACCATTGGTCCTCGAAGGCAACGAGTCCGTAGAAACGTAGGGTTGTAGTAAACAAAGACTCATCGAACATCTTCGCGAGGTACAAAACGAAGGGCACGTTATATTGATTACTTCTAAAAAATTTGTTGGACTGCAGTTTACAGTAACATGGCCCATTGCCCCGGTTTTTTAACTCCGAAGTTTTTCTTGCTTAATCTTGTGCTGCGAGTAAGTATTGTAGTAATGAGTGAGCTCGTTATGTCTCCTTTGGGGCAGCATTTTGAGCGCCCTTCAGCGTTTTCAGCGGCTTAGAAAACACAGGTAGCGATTACCGCTGAAAATACTGCTGGGTGCTCAAAACGCTGCCGCTTTGTGCGGATGCACTGTAATTTTTTATTCTGATCCTATCAAAAGGACTGGAAAATCTTACTCGACAGGGAAGGTTTTTAAGTTTTTTTTTGCCCTCGCTGTGCCTCCTTATCGCTTTTGTTAGAAGTGCGAGTTTCATTTTTGTACTTCAAAGTTTCGCTTCCTTGTCTTGTTCACCGCGACTAAATTGTCCTGGACGAGCGAGAAGTCTGCTTCTTGCCAGGGGTTCTAAACGTTTTTTGCTTTATGTGAATCTGTAAAGACTCCGCAAAGAGCCGACTATTCCCTTCCGATCGACGATGTCTTTGCTTTTAGCAGGTTTTGTATATCTTCACATGGCTAGAAGTCCTTTTTCAGATGTCGTGAAATACAACCGCAAATTCGACTGTGTGAGTTCAGCTGTGCTGATGCGAGTTCTAAGCCTGTTGATGGAATGATGAATGAACTGATGGAGATTCGTGCCCAGGGTACAGACAGTGAAGCTGTCGATGTCAGTACCATCATTAAAAGGTTGCAAGTCCGCCATTGTGTATTTTACTGTTACTTTAGCGCCTCATCGCCGAAATGCGTTCAAAGGCCACTTGTGACGACGTTATTGTAGTTGAGTGGGGCGGATTCAAATCTACTGTAGAGGATGACAAAGCGCGACAAGTGGTACAAGGTTGGCGACAGGTTCAAAATGAACTTGCACAATGTGAAACTCCAAAGGAGAGGGTTAGTGAATTCTTGGATAAAAAATTTGATTTATTCATCGTGGAGACTGGTGGTTTGGCCAGAGCGATACCGTTGGCTTTTTTCAGATGATGCTATACGAGAAACAGCTTTCTGACACTCGTGATGCTCTCGAGCGGATATCTGATCTAATTCGTAGGAAGGCTTCCGATAATGTCGATTCGTCGGTAATTTTAGTTTATTTGTGTATTTCTTTTTGTTCTAAGCCCGCTACATAACGATAGGAAATGCGAGCGTATGTAGTAGAGGAAGTCTATGATTCTTTTGAAGACGATCTGTGCTCTTATCTCCGTTGATCTTGGTATGCTTTGCAGAGGATTGCATCCATTTCCGGTCAAAAGCGCACCAACGGGGTTGGAGAATAGTGACACCTTGGAAGCTATATCCATATTGCGCCCACGCAGCCGTGCGCGTAATTAAAGCCGAAACGCACTGCTTGTCTGCGCCCTCTCACTTCTGGTTGTTCTCTACACTGAGTCGTTTTCGTAGGGGGGTCGTGGTATCGACGGAAGTGCTGTACCTTGAAAATAGCGTGGGTGGGATCGGGAGACGGCACCTGGGAATCGCTACACTCCAATCCCATTCCAGTGTTTTTTTTGGCGGAATAACGGGCACGCCGTCGCAACTGCTTGTCGTTCCCCTCGCACATGGAACCGATCACGTAGGAGGCGAATGTGAAGTTTATTCTTGATGGAAGCCAAGAGTTTTGCGGCATATGTAGAACCAGCGCTGTATGTGTGAATCAAGGTGTTTTGGGCGAGGAGGGAGTTCTATATTGCGGCAGTTCTAGTTCTGCACTGGTAGTCCTTTGGATGTCCCCATCCTTGCGGATGCGGAGTTTATCTCCAAACTGGTGATATCTGATCAGTACCATTGTGTGAAGTAACTGTGATCATTACATTCAGGAATTCTGCCTGCTCTTCACCACACATTATTACATTTGTGATTAGCAGTACTTGTGAAATGTAGAACCCATTGGTACTTTAGGCGCTACAAACGATCAAATCGTACCTGGAATTCCTTAAAATGGTTGGAACGGCGTCTCGTTACCTGGCACTGATTGAGAACACAAAGTAAAGTAAACTCATTGACTTTTGGTAAGGTTGAGGAGTAGATTTCACTTCGACCACTTACAGGGCTGAAAAGAAAACAAAGCCTCAGGATTTGTTACGCCTCTATGACTCTGCGATCGAAGTTTTCAAAGAGGTTGGGTATTTCGCTATAGCGCAGAACCTCTGCAATTACCAGTCAGTGAAGAATGATCAATTTTTTAGCTTCTGCAACTGCCTGGGGTTGAGTATGACAAAAATCTCACCCAAGCGATGAACACAAAGATTGAGTACTACAGAGCGTTCAGGTTAGTTGTAAGAAGTTTTATTGTTGCAGTACTGCGTTGAAAGTAGTGTTATGGGCAAATGGATTTGCCTTGCCTGCTGTCGCGGCTGCCCCACCTACGTTCATACTTTCCGTTGGTGTTATGAGCTCTGGCAGAAACGCCAGCTTTCGAGCAAATTCTGAGGTCTAGGTATCTACCTAGCATTCGAACAATTCCCTCAAAACGGCGAGAAGTACGAGCGCCGTCTCACAGAGCGTTCACACTTTGCGTCAGCGTCTTGAGCGTACGGCAGCGTTTGTGCGACTAAGAAAGTATAGGTATCGATCTTGCGTTTCGAGCGTTTCGGAGGCACGCTGCCGTACGCTGGCGCACGCTGACGCAAGGTATGAACGCAGGCTTGCGTGAGTTTGCTTTTGTTAAGCTAAATAAGCTTGTGCTTCAATGGATTTAGGTGTCACTACATGGCTGCTGCATATGCGGCATTGTCTCGGTTTGGCGAAGCCAGTGCACTGTTTGACAGAGCTCTCCACCGTTGCAAAGAAGCTAGTAAACTTGTATCGAAATTGAAAGGAAATCCTTATATGGTAGAGGAAAATGAAGTAAGTAGATTCTTGCATGAGGCTGGGAACGTTTCTCGGCGAAGTTCAGCGAAGGGGAGGGGAGGATTTTACACTTTTGCTGCTTCTTTAGTTGTGGAAGTCTCGTTCTTGTGAAACTTGTGAGCTCGTGTAAAGCTGTAGCAAGCTCATAGAGCCATCATGGTGAGTGATACTCGTACGGCATTTCATTACTTTATAAGAAATCACAGGTGACCTCCTGTGACTGGTGCCATTTCGTGGCTTCGCAAGATTTCACAGGTCTCCGTTTGTAGGCTCGGCACGTCGAAAATAGCAAAAGTTGGAAAAGCCCTCCCTTTCCTTCTTCGCCGATGAACGCCGATTTTTCTTCCGCATTTCTGCTGCTGTTGCATGAGAGGAACTTATGCCCTCCAGAAATAACTATTCGCTTCAGGATTCACTCCGTGGGCTCGCTCGAGACATTGAACAAGCGCGTGTTGCAGCAAGAGCGAAGCGTTTAGCGGCGGCAGCTGGTATCGTTGATGTGGCAGATGAACAGACGGCACGTGAGATTGATGACAGGGTAGGTCAGGCATTTTGTCATTTTGTTGAGCGCTTTTATGGTTTATGAGAAACAGAGATTTTGTTAGGCCCGAATTTGTGCTCTGTAGGGCAACTACAAAGGTTTCGACTTCATTTAGGCAGCGTTCATACTTCGCGACAGCAGTGGCGATCGCCGCGATCGTCGGTACGCGTCAGAGCGCGCCCCAACGCTATTACTTGGACCGCTCGCTTTGATAAATAAGGAAATCCAACTTGTAATACCTTTTTTCTCTTAATAATGGCTACTAGCTGGAAACTGAGGACTTTCTCTACCTAAGAGGATCTCGAATTTGCGGAGGAGATGGTTTTTCTTTTGTTTTCATTGTTTCAATTTATAAAGCGTCTTGGAACTTTCCCACTCACCAAACTGTTCAACTTCCAGAACATTTATAGTTTCCAAGTCGAGTTCGAACAACGAAAAAAAAGAAAGAAACAAACATAGAAATCAAAACACTAATTCTTGTATGCAACATCATAAGTTTATTTATAAGCTCGAAGAATAGAAATCTCTAATCGATTGTTATCAAAACTAATCAGTAGTGTATAATCATATCCTTGATTCGTAACCAAATAAAAACTCACCCCCATATGAACCCCACCTTGCTTTTTGCTCATTTGTATCCTGAACCAAAAAAAGAAAAAAAAAGCCATTAAGTTCCATCCTTCTTCCCTTAAGTCAAAACGAAACCTATACCTGAGTCAATTGAACTTACAAACACCAAGCCTGCGATGTTAAGCGCCAATTCCTCCTAACAGCACTCGAGGGCTCTAAATACACTAGCGTCGCGCGTTGGGGCGCGCTCTGGCGCTCACTGACGATCGCGGCGATCGTCGCGAAGTATGAGCGTTGCCTTACCGACACTCGTGCAACTGTTGTGGCGTTATATTTGCTCCTCATTATAGCCTCTTATGGACACGCTGACCGAATGGCGGCGCAACCGGATCGGCTCGAGCTCTCCGCCGAGCCCGACAACGCATCCAATGCATCAAGAGATCGTGCGTCTCTCATCCTACACCTCGCCTAACAAGCCCATTTCCTCTCGCTCGTTCGCAAATACTAAGCTAGTTCGCATCACTCGCACGTCAACGCTCGGACGCAGCCGGTTTCAGTGGATTGTTAGCATTTTTAATGGTCTTTCCGTTTCGCACTACGCACGCCTGCAGTAGCAGCTGTCAAATTCAAAACTTTACTGATTACGTTCCGGACATAAGCCCGTCACATCACAACTGAAAACTAGTGATTACGCAAAGCAACACACATAGTGAATATATTTTTAAACAAGAACAAGTGCATCCTACCGGAAATCGCCTACGAATTTTCGAAGGAGGACAGGAGGGTAGGCCAACTCACAGGGGGGGGCACTGGCAGAGAAATGGGCGAGAGGGTTGCGAGGGCTCCAAATGGAAGACGAATAGGGAGTGATATTCGTAAAGTCATGGTCCTTCCCCCATTCCGCACATTGTACATCCCTATACTTGGATTAGACTCAACGGCATTATCGTCTCCTCTTCACTTTTTATCGGCGGTGCACTTCATTTATCTCCAACAGTGCTTCTCATATCTTACCTTATATACGTTGAGATACAGATACATTGTTCTCATGGAAGACGGTTCAGTGTTCTTAATGGATGTTTAGATGCCCGACCTTGAAGAACGGCTAGCGAAATGTGTGGAGGGCACCAAGACAACTCCTGTGTCGAAAAAAGCAGCAGCGGAAGCAGCTAAGGCCGCCGGGGCTAAAACCGAGGATCAAAGTGGTTTGTCCGGAATGGTTAAAGGATGGATATGGGGAAAGAAGTAAGTTATTTGTTATCGTTTCTCTGAGAAGATTGTCTATTATCTGTTGTTGTTTAATTGTTGAGTTGTGACTAATTCACCCTTCCTGTGCCGAACTAGATGCGTGAGAGTTTGCAACTGTTGTGCTTTTTGATATCCTCGCATATATCATACCAAGAGAGTTTAGGCAATTGCAAGAAATGTGGTGAAGGGTACCTGGTTTTGCCTCTTTTCTGGTAGATTGCATTTTCGCTTAAGGAATTTCGGTTGGGACCCATGGGTGCTAAATTTTCATGTTTGAAGTATTTAGGGCCTAGGCGGGCTCTGACTTTATTACCAAGACTTTCACGTTCTACACTTTGCTGCTTCGCGTTGGATTAATAAGGACTCGCGTCGACGCGAGACCGCTGCGAGGGCGCCCTAGTGTTACAGGGGCGACCGCAGACGGTAGTCGATCGGCGATGTCTGCTTGAATTTTGAGAGAATATAGAATACAGGAGGGCGGCTCTGTCATCATACAGTGTGGTACTGCTACACCCCTCCCCTCACTCCAAAGCACTCCGGCCGGTGCTCATTGATACCAGACTCTGTGATTCGGCAATGCGTGCCCTCCTTATCCCCATACTCTCTAGAATTGAAAGCGGTCGGCATAGAGCGATTTCCGCCTCTGTCTGCGTTCGCGTCTGTAGATTGGAGCGCTGTTGCACTGTAGCGCATTGACGCGTGTAAAACGCGTCATCGGGAAGTCTGAACGCTGCCTAAAACATCAACAAAATCAGTTTGGATATGTGTGGGTCTGCTATTCCATAGTGTGGGTTTTCGTCGGACAAGTAATCCCTTCGGCAAAGGGTATGTGACAAGGCAATCGGAATTTGACGCGGTGGTGGGCTTCATGTGCGACGTCGCGATCCCATCGTGGATACGACAATAAATAGCGTATTACCAAAATAACCATAGATGTTTTGTTCGTTGTCTAAATGAAACTAGGTGGCTCCAAGTGGGCAGGCTAGCGCAAACTGAGAAAACGCCGCGCGCGACAGAGCGACAAATTGCGATTGTCTTGACCGTCTCCTCTCGGCGAAAGGGTGTTGGCTATGATGTAAAAGGATTTCTGATTTCTCAGTTCATCACAGCCATGTTTTTTGCTCTTTTTTCATAGGTTTTTTTATCCACTTCCAACATCCCATCATATTGTTTCATTGAGAGATAGTCTTTGTCAAGATTGTCGTGGAGCGTTCCATATGGCTTGCCTGCATCTTAGATTGCGGGAAGAGCCTTATTGATAAGGTTAGGTCGAGACGAGGTCGAACGGGAGTCCTCGCTGTAGTTTCCTTTCTTTTCCGAAAGTATTCTAAGGTCATTGTTTGTTGCTGTGATTTCGTGGATAATATCTGTCGCTTGTTCCTAAATTACTTCATGCTTTTTCTTTTAATTAGGTTGAGATTATTAATAACTTAAAGTATCAGTCTGTTCTCAATGCTCGTCAGGACTCACAATGTCTTCCTATTAGTGAACGTTGTATGTGTTCTGAGTTGTTGACTTCTCATCATTTGGGACGGATTTAATTGTTGTGATAAATGATTATTTATGGTAAATATTGTGTTACTTATGCGGTAGCGGTGATACAGACCGGTTTCTATCGACATGTTTTTCCTGCTCGGTTTTCCCTTTACATGAGCTGTCCGTTACACGTGTATTTTTGTTGTCTGGTTCCTTTAAAGAACTACTTTAGTTCATATGCTAGTTTTATTATGAAGAAGCGAAATTCTTTCATTGCTCCGATCATATTCTATACCAAATTCATAGAAAGTTCGAGAAATTGCGAAGGAATATGTATCGAGCGCTGTTTGGCGTGGAAGGGGCATTTTGCACTTTCGCTAGTTTCTTTTGCGAATCCATGTAACTAATAGGTCCCATTTTGATAGACTTGAACTCTTGTTAAGGTTGTAAATGGTTGGGTTGTTCAAATGGGATTATTTTGTTACACGAATTTACAGGACTACACAAGGTTGCCTGTACAGGCCTCACTGAGCACCATTTTGTGCCCCACCCCTTACCGATCACCACTTATGTTTTGTGGGTACAAATTGACAGGGTTTGCTCGTTTTTCGGGTGGAAATGCTTGAACAGCATCTCTAGCTGACTCACAGTTTTACAAGATTACATATCAGATGGTAATGTGAAACTAATGAGAAAACGCTACCTTGCACTACATTTCACAGAGTGTACTGCATCGTTATGCGTGGTGTCAGTACGACCTTCTCTCCCTCGTCCCCCCCCCCCCCACTCTCACCCTCCCCTACAAAAGTATCCCCTCATTCCGGTACGAACCCTCTCCCCAGCGACCGATCAAGTGGCACCTGCTGGGATTCTCTCAACGCTGCTGTTACGTGACTCCATGAGAGCGGTCCTATTTGGAATGATAAAGGTATCAGTGCTTGATAAACCTGCCGCCGCCGTTCATCAGCTGCCGCCGCTGCGGATGCTATCTCGTAAAAATGTTGAAGCAAACAGTGGTCGTAATTTAAGCGACTTGATGTAAATCAGTCCAGTTTTATACTAATGAACCACGTAGGCCTTCTCTCCAAACGCGATTTATTTCGGATACCCGTTTGTGAATTAACTGGAAAGTAGTCGCTCCTTATTCGTTGAGGAGAAGCAGAGGTCGGCCAGTTGTAT